TGATGGTTGCTATGCCCTAACGTCATGTGATCTCTTCTGACAAGCAAAGTCAATGGGTAATCCAGATTCACTTACCAACCATGTTACTAATTTAACAAATGCAATGATTCACTTAACTGCGGCAAGAAAAAATGTAAAATGGGACAAACTCATTTAACAAGTGTTTCCCTTAGCAAGTCAATTGTGGTTGTAACTTGAGGACTACCTGTATGTTAAGCCACAGAAATGATTTTATTTATTACTACTGTAATCAAATTTCTGAATTATATTAAAAATGATTTTACTTAAGAGCTGAAGATCAGTCCCTTGATCCAGCAAGAGATTTTTGCACGCAAGTAGTTTTCTAATTACAAAACAGAATGAGAATCCAAACATCTTGTATAGTGAGTAAAATATTCTGAAAAGTATCATGTGAGGAGCACATGTAGAAAAGTTCTTACTCAAAACATACAGGGTTGACATCATTTGTGAACCAAAAGTTTCTCTTCATTATTTCAGTATTAAAGTATTTTCCAGAAATTTAGATTAGGCTTTCCTCAGGTCCAGCAATTAGCTTTGTTTCAAGCTATGTCTAAATTTGTGGCCTACCAGCTGACATACTAAAACAGCTAAATGTCTTGTACAAAATTATCCCTCAGAGGACCAAGAATAAAGAGCTAATTTTTCTCTTTATGCAATTCAGATTTAAATCATTACCATATTTGTCTGGCAATATGATACATGCAAATATATTGATTTTGTTGATTTTTGGTGGGGAGGTTTTTTTTTGGTAATAATACTTCATAAGATTTTCATATCATACAGCTTTATAACTTAAAGAAAAGCATCAAAAAGATTTTTCTTTTATTGGGCAACCATGACAAGCTCTAAATCCAATATGTAAAGCAGCTTTTTAAAAAGAAATACTATGGCCCTCTAGGGCAGCACCATAATGAAATCCTCAAAATAATCTGTCCTCAAGCAATCAGGTATCTTTCAACTGAGCTGGGACATCCACTTATACAAAAGAAATATTCCTTTACAGATATAAACATGAATGGTGAAGGGACAACATGGTTGCATGAAGCAGCTTCCAAGTTTGTAGATCCCCAGGTTTTGCTACAACATACCTTGGAGATGGGAAATATGACTGCCCAAGTTTGTAACACTACCACACAAAGCAAGATAAGTTTGGGCCGATTCAAGTCAATCAATTTCATTCAGCAGCTGCAATTCAAAGACCTGCAGGTGATCCTTAAACTGTTGGTGCGTATCGGCACTGTGTGGCCGCCGTTCACGCTGCAACTCACAGATGCGCAGAAGGAGTCTCTGTTCTCGACACCGGGAAGCCTGGAGCTGCTGCTGTGCTTTTCCTAGTGCATCAAGTGCTGCCTCAGCCCGTCTCTTCCAGAGTAAGGCACTACCCACCTGGTAGCTGTGCTCATTCTGGATGTAGGCACCAGCCGGGGGTGGGAGTCGCAGCATGTAGAGGGAAAGAGAAACGGGTTGAGATGGATCCCCTACAGGTTCTGGAAGAGCTGGAGATTGAGAAGCCTCTTCTTGGCCAGTGGCAGCTGATAATTGTTCCAGGGGTATGTCTGACAGAGTGGCCAAATTCTCTGGTTCTGACCCTGGCAGATTGGGCTGGTTTCGAAGCTCAACAGTAGTGGGAGCAGCCCCAGGGCTTGGAAGCTCCTGCACGGGGTGGCAAGAGACATCCATACACAATGGAGTTGTCTCCTCTGCAGAGCAGCTGTGAAAAAGGAATAGAATTGAGGTCAGGTGAGGAATAACTGCTACATAAGCTGTGACATAGAGTAACTAGCAGAGAAAAACATGATTGAAGATGCAGGATGCCCGTATACCATACTTTTTGGTCTATAAGATGCACAGCACCATAAGACACATTACCTTTAGAGGACGAAAACAACAACAAAATCTACTTCTGCCTCCCAGCATCCATCCGGTATTCATCTGGCTAGAATACGTTGCAGTAAACAGTCTGGTCAGCTTCAACACTTTATTGCATCCCCAGCATGTGGCTCGTCAGGGCTCTGCCCCATTGCACCCACCACCAGTTAACCAAGCCATTGGCGGGGAACGCTAGAGCCTTCTCTGCTGAGCAGCTGATTTGCAATTGGCCTCCCAGAATACTGCACTTCATTTGTTCTAGGCGGCGGGGATCACCACTGTCATCTATCGCCACCTGTTCATCACCGGTCGCTGTGGCCCATTTGCCGCAGCTGATTTTCCATCTGCCCATTTGCTGCCACCCATTTGCCACTGATTGCCATGGCCCATTTGGCGCCCGCACATTCACCATGGCCTGTTCACTGCCGATCACCACAGCCTGTTCGCCGCATGTTTGCCATCGCCCATTGGCGCTAAACGGGTGGAGGCAAATGGGTCACAGCAATTAGGTGGCGGCAAATGGGCTGCGGCGATTGGTAGCAAATGGGCTGCGGCAAAAGGCAAGCGGTAGTTGGGCGGTGGCAATTGGGCTGTGGCAAATGGGCAGGTGGTGAAGGGCCACGGCAAACCAGCTGCAGCAAACAGGCCGTGGTGAATGGGCCATGGTAATCGGCGGAGAACAGGCTGCGGCAAATGGGCGGGTGGCCATCGGATGATGGCCATGGTAATTGGGTGGCAGAAAATTGGCAGATAGCAATCGGTGGCAAACAGGCAGCGGCAAACAGGCGGGCAGTGAACAGGAGGCAATAGGCAGCGGCAGAGGTGATCCCCACTGCCTATAACAACTGGTTGGCAGTATTCCGGGAGGCTGATCTAACCACCAATCAGCTGCTCGGCAGCAAAGGCTCCTGCATTCTCCGGCAATGGTGCACCAACCCCCCTCCTTCCCACCATAATATTCACTCTATAAGACGTACAGACATTTCCACTGATTTTTTGGGGGGAGGGAAAATGCGTCTTATAGAAAAATATGATAGAACATATTCTTCCTATAGGCTATAAGGAGCCAATATGGAGTGAAGCTTGGGCATGGAAAACAAGGAATGTTCTAGGTAGCTATGAGTGTCTTTTGTAATATGCTACCATGAGAAGATGTGGATTCATATAGCAAAAAGAAAAAGGTGATTTAATTAAGCCACTAAATTATATTCCAGGATGGATGTTTTTCACATTTTTAATATTCTTAACTTAATTCATATTTTTCCCTCTGGTTCCAATCTAATTCCACAATTCCATTCTGTTATACACAAAATTCCTTTTAAATCTACTAATATATTAATGGCTGAACAGATTATGCTTTTTACTCTTTATCAAGAAGTAAGCATCACTGAATGTACTGTGCTCTACTTCTAAATAAATATGCACAGGGTTACAGAGAACATGAGGTCAGAAGAGTGGGACTCACCTCTGTTTCTGTTGATACTTTGCAAGTTTGGAACTGTTTAGTTTAGACTTCCGGCGTGGCTTTGCATGAGGCTCAAATATCGTAGGAATAGCCCCTTCCTTGAGACGATGATAGCCGCTACAAAGGAAACAGCCCTCACATATCAAAGTTGTTACTGGCTCAGAAACCCCAGAATCTGGACTGTGGATTGCTGGAGAAGGCAGATCTTCTGAGGGCTTTGGAATTAGCTAGTTACATTCTATTTTGAGTATTATTTCTCCAGCTTTTTTATGTACAGAAGTATTTAATAAAGTAATTAATTTTGGCCACATATATTTAGCCCTTTCCTTTCCTAATTCTGTTTTGTCATTATGACCCAGAAATCTTGTACTGAAACAATGTCAAGTTATGATCAAGTGAAACGTATGATCTGTTTTGGCAAATCTAGTGAGGATAACTAGCCAAGATCCTTTTTCACTCACACTTATTTTTTTAAATGGATTTACCAGGGTTTTTTTTTGGTGGGGAGGGCAAGAGAAGAGTTGGTGTTATATACAAGTCTGTAGCTAATCACCCTAAGAATCTGACACTTTAGGAAAGAAAAATCCCCTTGATTTCTGATTGGAAATCACATTCTAAATTTTCCAAATGTAACTCAGATTGGTACGCTAATCTTTTCATCTCTGGAAAAATATATTAAACTGAAATCTGGTCATCTTTAATAAACCAACTGGTTTCTGAGCTTTCAACACTGATGATTTTTTAAAACACCTTTCAGGTCACTTTGACTTCCCTTCCTTAGCCTTACTCTCTGCTATCTTAGCAGCTAGAAACATATGTCTCACCTTTTCTGGGTCTTGAAGCTTAGCAGGATTAATTCTGGTTAGTATTAATGTGACACTAGCTGCCATACCTAAAGATAAAGCAGGCATAGAAGCAAAGACAAAAAGCCATGGATTTTGTTTAAAAAATTCCTTTGGAAGATTGATAAGAAAGAGCCAAGTCCTTAAAGAAATAAAGAAAAACATGTAACCTAAAAAAAAAAAAAAGACATTGGGCATGAGAACATGGGAAGCTTCTCCTCAAATACCTTCAATAGTTACCAGACATAAAAATCAACAAGGTGAGAATTGCTGCCAGTATTGTGAATCAATAAAGCAAGGACTTTTAGGCCCTGAAGCCACTATATCCTTCAATCATCTTTGGAAGCAGACTTGGCAACTTCTGCCCCTCTAGCTAGTGCCTGGCAAATCATAGTTAAGAATGTGATTGTGTGCAACCAAGAAAGAAGTGATTTCTAGTCTAACAAAAGCCAGCTCAGTGATTTGGGTCAGTCACTTTTTCAGCCCAATGCATCTCAAAGGGCTATTGTGAGGAAAATAGGAGGAAGGTATAGGTATGTTTTCTACTTTGAACTATTTATAAAAATAATACAGATGGGATAAAAATAAGATTTGCTATCACTTTAAATTCATTTGGGGTGTAGCTGTTGACCAGGGCTTATGTGAGCATAAGACAAACCTGAGAATACATGTAGCACTTAGGATAGGGAATTATGGAACAACAGCAAGATTGCAGATTAAGTGGAAGAAATCAAAACAAACCCTAGAAAGGACAATAGTAAACCACTTTCAAACTGCTGCCAAGAAAATTACACTGATGTGCCTACAAAAATCCCCAGAGGCTGAACTTGACTTGAATAAGACTGTTAACTTTTCAGCTTTAAAATGCATCTCAAGATAATCCTTTGGGTGTATACACACCTTTAGAATGGTCATATCATGCTCTGAGTGTTTTCACAAATTTGTCAGAAAGTTGATGAGATTAATACTCAGTGAATCTCCCACTCTGTCTTTTCTCCAAGCAGAAAGGTAGGGAAATATTTCTAGAGAAAGCATTGGGCTACGCCCTGTAGACGTTTACTTTTTTTTTTTTTTTAATAAAAAAAGGTTTGTGAGTTGTTTCCCATATTCATAGTATTTTAAAAAATGAATGAAAGTCAGATGGAACAGGTATCCTGGAAGGCCCATTCCTCTCCTTAGGAAGGATATTGGCTATATTGATGTACATTACTGTCCTACTACAAACTGTCTACTTTAATTCTGCATGTTCTTTCATATTTTTCAAGTATTTTAATTACCTACCTGGTGCCCACTAGTTCAAAGCAATTTTTCTCAAAGTGCTTGGAGCAAAAGTAAACATATTTAGAGGCAGGGTTCCAGAGACCCTGCCCACTCATGTTCTTCCGCTGACAATTCTGCAACCATGTGGTTCGCCGTGGATTGTCCTTTGGCAATCTGTGAGAAGAGATATTAACTCATTGGAGATCAGAGGTCAAATGCAATATTATGCATATCTATTTCTCAAGCTCAAGTAAAATAGCTTTGATGGCAGCGTGGCTATCTCTGAAGGCCATCTATTGGGAGACTGGTGCTTTTCTTGTATAGTTGGGGGGCCTGGGGTCTGATCCAGCAGGGCACCATGTATATTCTTACATTCTTTAAAATCACTGATCCTACAAAGCTTGGTTTTATGATGGTGAGATATCACATGATGCTGCAATTTTAACAGACTAATCCTACCAACTTTCATCTTCATATGGGAATAGGAGTCTGCAAGGGCAAAAAATAAAATCATTTCTCACCGATGAAAAGAAATGCCTTGGTTGCGTGTTTCACGAGTATCACGAGTGCAACAGCCAGTCGCAGAGCAGTGACGGGGCATCTGCAAGAGAAAAAAACAAAACCATAGTATGTAACTATTTTGAGGATCAAGTCATACATTTCTTTTAAGAAGAGATAAGACAGGTACCCAGAAGACTCCAGAACTTGGTTAAAGTCCCAATATTCTCTACCAGCAATTGTTGAAAGCAGAACTATGTGTAGTTTACAGAATGGTTTAGAGCATGGGTGTCAAACTTGTCACATCATGTTGCCGTCATGTGACGTTTCGTGACATTTTCCCTCTTTGCGAAAGGTGGGGGGGTCAGGGCATGGCCTGCACGTGATGTATCTGGCCTGTGAGCTGCTAGTTTGACACCTGGGTTAGAACTACATTTTAATCAATGGAAGGATATTGAAATCACAGTATTAATTAGCTGCCGGAAGTATTGTTCATCCATTACTTTAGCTTGCAAAATATGCCAGCAAATTATGCAAACTTTGACATTTATCTCCTCAACATGTCTATGAAATTAAGACCCCGAAACAACTGAGTATTTTGACATATACTGTACTTTTATACATTTTGGGATATTTTCAATAAAAATAAGGAGAATTATTTTTTCTGGGACTTGGTAATGCACTGTATGCAATGCCAGATTAATATATGGAAATCATTCCTGGGGTGACAATGTGCATTAGCATTAATTTTTAAAAATGAACTTCTACGCAGTTCAGATTTAAGGAAGCCTTTAAGAAGAAGACTTCTCCTTGCTAACAACCCAGTCATGTTGGCTAGATACTTCAAGGTTATTTAGAGACCTTCATGCTTCTGTTGCCTGCCATTTTAAGTACCACTGATGCTGGATTTGCATTTTATTAAGCTCTACTTTGAATAGCCTATGGTTTCTATAAAAAGCAACAACATAAATGCAACTTGCAAGAACACAAGAACAAGTTCATACAGCAGGTACGTACATAACATAAGCAAGCGCACCACATACTGCTTTATGTCAGAGTCTCAGCCTAGTGCTGGATCTCTAATGTGAGGAAGAGACCTTGGGGTGGGGAGACTTACTTTGTGGATAAACTTCGACCTTATTTTTGTATAGTTATGTGGTGAGAATATGAACTCAGCTGATTTTTGTATCGTTATGTGGTGAGAATATGAACTCAGCTGACCTTAAAAAGCTTAATAAGTTCGGGACTAGCTTGCATCAACAAAGATGGTTAGGGGACTGGAGGTTAAAACAGATGAAGAACAGTTGCAGGAACTGGGTATGTCTAGTCTAATGAAAAGAAGGACTAGGGGAGACACGTAGCAATGTTCCAATATCTCAGGGGCTGCCACAAAGAAGAGGAAGTCAAACTATCCAAAGCACCTGAGGGCAGGACAAGAAGCAAAGGGTGGAAACTAATCAAGGAAAGAAGCAACTTAGAACTAAGGAGAAATTCCCTGACAGAACTATCAACCAGTGGAACAACTCGCTCCAAAAGTTATGAATGCTCCAACACTGGAAGTTTTTAAAAAGATATTGGGCAACCATTAGTCTGAAATGGTGTAGGGTTTCCTGCCTGGAAAGGGGGTTGGACTAGAAGACCTCCAAGGTCCCTTTCAGCTCTGTTATTCTATTCTATTTGGATGGAGGGCCACCAGGAAACGCGGGGCTGTAAGGAACAAAGCGGTAATGATGACGGCAGTGGCCACCCCCATCATTACCACTGCCAAGAAAACGTGCCTCATGATCAAATAGGGGTCAGGCTCGCTCTTAAGAGACGCTATTATAAAAGAAAGAAGGACGGGGAAGGTCTTCCCATCAGTCTCGAATCCAACCGCAAAAGTATAGGGGGGGGGGGGAGAATGGAGCATAAATGGGGCGTGGCTACAGCAGCCTGCTCTTTTCTCTCTCTCTCTCTCTCCCCCCACTCCCCCAGCCCTCCTGGTGGGGGTAAGGAGAGCATCCAGCGCGACAAGGCCGGAGTGAAATGCCACCGTGCTCCAGGGGTTGGGAAGCACGCACAGGAATAGCTGCGGGAGGGCATCACGGGACTCCGCCGGCATCCATTCCCCCCCCCCCCCAACTTTCTCCGCGGGTCACCTCACCTCCCATTGCTCGAGGCACCACGGCGGCGGCTTGAAAGCTGAAGCGGAAAAGAGAATCGCCGATCTTCTCGTGATAATTAAACTTAAGCCCGAGTTTGGCATAGAGGTAGAAAGTCTAGAGGTCCCCAGGCCCTGTTCCTGAGGCGGTTTTTTCCTACCTGAACGGCCGTACAGAAAGATCTTTCGTAGGTTGCCCCATCTGGGCTGTGAAGAATCCTTTTAGATGGCCTCCATCCGATACCGAAAACTCTTAGCAGCCTTTCAGTAGCTGTCCGGCTTTTTGTTAATTCTCACATGGAGTATCTGGTTTTGTTTTGTTTTTTGGTTTTTTTTTTAGCCATCGGGAACATAAATGCCTTCATTTCTTTAACGTAATAAGGAAGCTATTTATTTTATAAAAGGCAGCAAGGTAGGAAAAAAAGGCAGCGCTTTTTTAACAGGATGCTTAGGCAGCAAATGAACTTTTTCCTGTTTACCGCAGCTTCCTTTTCTTATTTGTTTTGTGTTGTTGTTTTTCCGGAAGGGATTAATGTGTATCTTCGTTTGAGAAGTGCTGCTCTCTATTTTTTCCTATCTCTATAGTCAGGCACCAGGTCTTCAGTAACCGCCCTCCCTTCCTAGCCAATCCCCGCTTAATCTGTTGCCTTCCACCAGTCGGATTGACAAAAGCTAGGATCAGTTGAAAGTCTCCGGAGTGTGAAAAGGTAGATTCAATTTTTATTTAAAGCAGGGGTCCCCAAACTTGGCAACTTTAGTCCACAAGTCTTAAAATTGCCAAGTTTGGAGACCTCTGATTTAAAGTGTTAGTGTGAATAATGCAAGGAGGAAAATAAAAATATAAATCAAATAATCAATGTTATATTCCCATTATGGAAGCATTTTTTTTAGAATTTACAGGTAGTATTGGAAAGATAAATGTTCAATCAATGGTTTGAAGATCTGATTATACTTGCCACTTATAAGCAGATTGCTTATAGATATAGATTTTGTCTTTTTTCTATTATTTTAAAAGCAATAAAATTTTATTAAACCCTCCAAATTAGCTTTTTGTACTTAATAGTGCATTTTTTTAACCAAGATATTAACTTTGGTTACACAGAGAACCATCTGTTTCTTACTAATTAAAAAAAATCTAACCTCAAAATGTGTGATTTTATTGAGGTTAGATTTTTTTAATTAGTAAGAATTAGTGTGATAGGTAGGTAAATAGATGAACAGTATGTATTATAGTCATTATTTTAAGCTATTTTGATAAGGATTGTATCTTGAAAGGTTACAATATGCATTAAATTATCTGAGGCAGCTTTGAAAGAAATATTGAAGGGAAAAAGTACACATTTATTCTCCAATCTCTCCAAAGCACTTTGTGTTGGAGATGGCACTGACTCTCCAGTCATAACTGGATAACCTATGACTGCAGATACCTTTTATTGCTTGTTAGACATATTTATTAAACTGCTGGATGTAGCAAATGGACAATCTAGTTTCCAGCCTACATTCAATTTAAGCCAATAGTATTGTTAAAAGAAATCCTTCTGAGTTCAGTTCCAAGTGGGGAAAAAGAGACTGGAAACATGGAGGCTGCTTGGAAGTTTAATGGTGGACAGGACAACATGGCCTGGAGCTCCAGAGTGAAAGGGAAGAGATCAATAAAAAGGGTGAGAAGAGAAGGCCCAGAAGGGCTGAGTTGCTGAGAGCGCCTGGGTTTTATAACCTTTGGTGGGCCCCACCTTAGTGTTTCCTGTTCCTGTGTAAGAAATGTATCCCATTGGTTGTCAGACTCCCAGGGGTCAGGGGTCTTAGCTAACTTTGTAGGTTTGTCTGTGTCCCAGGTTTGTTTGAGTGCTGGCTGATGTAATCTTCCCAGATGCCATGTGGTAAGATGGGTTGAGGGCTAATCCTATCTGTTGTTATGTAGAATAGACTGGCTCAGGCCTTAATGGCCCATTGACAAAGTTTCTGCCTCTCTGAGTTTCTACTTCTCTTTTTAGGGGAAATATTCTGCCTTCTTAATATTTCCTAGACTATTTCAATTTTCTAGGAGAGGGGTGGGTACTGTAACTTCCTACAGTATCTAAGTCAAAGCTGACAGAGACATGGCTGAAGACAAGCAGGAAGATTACCTCCCCTCCATTTCTTTGTATAACAAAGTGTCAAATTTATTTTTCCTTTTTGCTTTTTTTTGCCTCCATTAAAAAACCCTATAGAAATCAAAATCTGACCTGCTAATAGCAATGGGGAAACGTTGTGGAAAGCCAGGTTGCAAGATTAATCATCACTGTCAAAGAAGAGATAGCATTAGAAGCAACTCAATCAAGTCAGGAAGGATAAACAAAAGAAACCTGGAAACTATCTTTATTCCATTGAGATGTTAGAATTCAAATAGAAAAGTTAACAGCCTTTGATTTGCCTGATTCCCAATTGCCTCAAAATAAACATTCGATCCTAATACTTAGATTAGCATTTTACTGGCTCCATCAAAGAACAGGAATCCCCTCAAGATAAAGGAAGATGCCAGATCCCCTCATAACATTCTACACCAGGGAGATTCTTCCTTTCTGGACTTCATATCTTCAGGGCAATATCAAAGAGTTGTCTAAACTTACACCTGACAGCCTAGGGCAGGAGCACCTCAATCTGCATATCTAAACACCAAAATCTTCTTATCATATATACCTCTACTGGTGGACCCCTAACAATGTAGACTACCTTTTTCAGATTCTGACCTCTCTGCTTTTGAAAAATTAAAAGGAGCTTCTTCTTCTAGCAGCCTGCCTTTGCATATTCATTTCCAGCTTTGATCTTCCAGCAGAAGAAAAAACTCTATATTTGGTTTTTCTCTTTATTCTAAAATATAAATATAGAGGCTAGGGAAAGGAGAGAAGTAGTGCTCTTCTGGAGAGATAGTTTGGTGCAGTGGTTAAAAAATGCTGGAATAGAACAAGGAGACTCTTACTCTTTCCTTAGGTTCTAAAAACAGGTAACTTGAATCAATATCTCTTAACTATAGGGAGAAGTTGCTGGCAAACTACTTTTGGATATTGCTAAGAAAACTGACTGTCTCTTTTTCCTCCTGCAGTATCTTGAGACAAGTTTCAAACCAGCATTTTGGGATGCAATAACATAAAATTCTAGTGTGTTCTAGCTTCTAAACAGTTCTATTGATAACTGGATGACTTTATTGATTTTGGAAGAATTAGAGCAGCATGAGGCAATTTCTTGGAGTACATTAACTTGGTTCTCTACTGTTATTACATTTTGCTGTGACAATTTTGGTTTGCTTTCTTGGGAATTAATTCTTTTAAGAAGTTTGTACAATCTTCAGAAAAGAGCTGGAACTATTTGTAGCTGAGTCTAGCGGCTCAAATCTTATTGGAGCAGTCCTTCAATTTGAGAAGGGTTTTAAAATATATATTTAATCTGATTTAGGTTCTGCCTGGATTCCCCTGAAATCCAGAGGTTTGTTTTTGGCCTTTTGAGGCAATGTAATAGACTGTTTAGATTTTAGTGTGTAGCTAAGCCTGGGGCAGGGGTTTCTCCTTATCTTAGGCTCCAGCAAGCTGGGGGATTTCATCTGTAGGCTTTAGTTCTGCTCTAATGGCCCAAATACTTAACTTGTAAAACTTCACTTTATATCAGAGGTAGTTTTAATTAGTTTTGGATGTCATTGAAAAATTTGCTCAAGGCATTATGTCAGCTGCATTTTTAAAGTAGACTGTAGACTTCATTAGATTTGGTTGAGAAAGACCTGATTGCAATGCTCTGTCCTCACTCGGCTCATGGGTCCTGGATTGGCCACAACTAACTGAACTCCAACTATATGAATAGGACTAGGACATTTGGCAGTATAATAGTTGTACTGAAAATCAGAAGGAGACTTACATGCAGTGAGATGTTAATCAAATAATCCTTGCCTATAAGATGCAGCAGTTTGCTAAAGCAGCTGAGAGAGAGAGACAGAGCTAATACAAAACATAAAGCTAGGAAAGTTCAAGGAATCCAATCCAAAAGTCAAAAGTGAACTGAAGTTAGTAGTTTATAGAATGGAAATGGCAAAATTTCCAACAAGAAGTGAGACCTGAAGTGATCTTGACCTTGTTTGATTAATGTAATTGATGCCTTCTCAATGAATTGCACAAATCTGTACTGCTCAGCTATTTGTAACTGCCATCTTGTTTAGAAGTGGGTGTTCAACCAACATCTGAATATATCTCTCAGTCACAAGAACTTACTCAGGTGGAAAAAACCCATTGGATCCCCAACTATAGAATGGTAATCCACCAGGTTCTCCTTTCCAGTTTTAGAGTCTGAGGTGAAAATTTGGATTAATGTGTTAGTCCTGGGAACAGGTACAGTTGCAACGATCAGTTTGCACATTCCTCCAACCTTGAGGAAAGAAATGATGCAGGTCTGCCTTTACAGTTGGACAGCAGAGTATTTTGGACTATTTAAAACAGGGCTGTCAAACTCACGGCCCACTGGCCAGATGCGTCACACACTGGCCTAGTCCTCGACTAATTTAACGAAAGGGGGAAAGGCATGATATGTCATGTGACGATGCCGTGATATTGCAAGTTTGACACTCCTGAATTAAAACTATCCAGAACCTCTCTGATTTTAATGGCCTTATGTTTGAGTGAACATCAAGACATGTTTCCTGATGCCATACTTTGCCTGCAAGTCATATGAACCATTGTAACTCTTCACAGAGGCACAACTGAGCCTGTGAGATACATCCTGTTAGAATAATGTTTCAGCTGGAGATAGTGTTTTTTAAAAAAAACAAACAAACACAGGGTTATATTCAAAAGAATGAAATATTAGGCTCTTTGGGGAGGAAATTTTTGTGTTTTCTCATCACCATTTCCCCTTCTCAGTCGCACAAAATCAAGATATGACTTTCTACTCTTTGGAATGCAAAATTTAAGTCTTCAAATACTTTTACTTAGCCTCTACTAAATCTGGGCTTACCATTAATTCCTTGGCCCAAACCCCAAGCATATAGTCAAGCAAGCTTGTATAGACAATAAAATGAATACACAGAAAAGTCCCTGGAAATAATAA